GTGAGGGTGTGGGTGTGGGTGTGGGTGTGGGTGTGGGTGTGGGTGTGGGTGTGGGTGTGGATGTGGGTGAGATGAAGACTAAAACTAACATCCACACCCACACCCACTCCCACACTTGCACGCACACCCACACTCACACCCACTCCCACACTTGTACGCACACCCACACTCACACCCATTCCCACACTTGCACGCACACCCACACTCACACCCACACTCACACCCACTCCCACACTTGCACGCACACCCACATCCACATCCACACTCGCACTGGCATCCACATCCCTATTATATCTGAAGAAAAAGTTAGGATTCGATCACCCGATGAAACACTTAATTTAATTGCCATTCAAGATAAAAGTCATTTACTTTTTTGTTAATATTGAATTAACTGATTTAAAAGATGTTGAATATAGTGAGATTGGATTGGTTGGCGTAGGAACAAATATCGGTATGAAAATTTTCTATTGTACATTTATTTATTCATTATATACGACAGTAAACTATTATTCATATTTTCTTAATTATTATTCAAAAGAAAAAGTTTTCAAAGTTAATTAACTATCATTTATTTCAAAATAGAACAAGAATTAAAGTTTTTCGAATTAAGATACAGACCTATGTTTTTCATTGTTGAGAGAAAAGAGATAAAAATTCATTCAATTAAAGACGAAAAATTTTTCTCAGAGTCTTTTATAAAGTGAATCGGAAATATGAATTTGGGATTTTTAAAGATGCATTAGATTAACTAATAAAAGTATGTAAGAAGTATACTTTTTAAATGGTGTCACAATATATAAGAAATCAAGAAAATTATCAAAAGATAAAAGATATGACAATGAGATGATCAAATGATAAATCTTCGAATCGATGATATATGTTTTAATATAATGAAGTTAAATAGTTTCTATTAATATAAATAGAGCTTCGAAATTTATTGATTTATAATATTGGAGGTGGAGGACAATCTGGTGAAGCAAGGAGAATAACTGTTTATAATACAAATCAAAAGATAAGTCGTCGTAAATTAAAAAATTGATAATTATACATAACATGATTGTGATCCAGCATAGAGTGAAGCTCTTACTTTAAATGGAAATATTGAATTATTTCAAGTAACAAACAATCAAGTTTATAATATGAATAATATTGGGATTGATTTTATTGGTAAATTATTATTTTCATTTTTGTTTTATTAAAGAATTAATTAATTAATAAAGATGAAGAAAGTGGAATGGGAAGTTTGGGTGCTCGTGCTGGATATTGTGGTTCAAATAAAGTATTGAATATTCATTCAATATATGATGGAACCATGTGAAAATTTATGGCATCTAAACACGTTTTGAAACGCGTTTTAGATGCGTTTGAAAAGCTGTAAGAAAACGCGTTGATATTTTTTTTTCTTTTGGGAAAAAGTCATCTTGTTCTCGCAGATTCGTGCGGTCACCATCAATTTCACATGATGGTCAGCTCTTCCGAGAGGCACAGAACAAATGTTATATTTTTAGATGTACCTTTAAATTGTGCAGTGAATGAGTCTAGAACAGAAGATGTTTGATTATAGAATTACATACCTAACTCAATGAATTACATTGGCTTATGAATGTATCAAAAATAGCTCTGTTTTGATAAGAGAAATTGTAGTATAACTTAAATGATATATAAGAAGACGTGTAAAATCAAGGATACATTTAACCATTGATTATTGATTCATCTTTATATTACTTTAGAAAATATAAAGATTGAGAGAATTCTTATTTAAAAAAACACAAATGGATGAAATCTCGATTCTTATAAAATAAAAGTTATTTATCTTCTGAAAAAAAAATCAAAATCAAGTTCAACATATCAACAAGAATAGTCTGTTTCTAAGAAAATACAGAGTGAAAAGCAACCATAATTCAATGTGGCTCTTAATTATATCTTATTCGTCATAAGAAAAATTAATAAGTGTTTGCTATTTGGTTATATTTAAAAACGATTTTCTTGCTACTTTATTTAAATTCAATTTTTCCTTAGCACAAAAGTATTTTTAAATTTTTTCTGCATGGAAAAATTTTATTTTGTATCTTTATTTTTTTTAAACGAACATTATAGTTATCTTTGAGTTTTTCTTATGAAAGTAAGAATGAATTCTGAACTTTAATATAGACAACTAAGTGAGATTCGTTCATTGCGCGAGTCTTCTGCAACTATAATATGACAACAGTCGAGTCTAAAACAAAAATTGAAAAATTTCTATTTAACAAAACAAATATTCTATGATCTTCCAATGATCATAATCAATTAATAGGGCTTGTTTTTATTATAAATTAAATGTAAACTCCTTATTAATTGTTTTATTGAAGTCAAATAATTTATAAAATTATGAACTGTTTTTATTGAAATATGAAAATATCAAGAATATCACTATATAGAGCTTTCGGGCTACATATAGTTCATCTTCAGTATAAATCTCAATATGTAATTTTTCTGTGTAGTCCGAAAACTTTATGTAGTGATAGCATTGAAATATGAATATTTCAATACCAATAGTTTATAATTTAATAGATTATGTGGCTTTAATAAAATAATCAATAAAGATTTTACATTTAATTTATAATCTTATGATCTTGATTATGGATAATAATAATAATCTGTATTCATTTATTGAAGGCATATTATTATTGATTTTAATTTTCAATAAGATGAATTAAAGAAACACAAACATGAGTATTATTCTTCTGTTAATTTAGAATAAATTTAAGTTATTTTTTTTTCTCATAATTTAAATTTAAAAATAAATTTAAATTATCATAAGTTTAATTTATTTTAAATTTAAATTATCGATAATTTAATAAATTTTAAATTTGAATTATATGCACTTCCTAATTAAAAATAGGACATATATTCTACATCAATTTTCAAAAACAAGTAGAATAAATCTCCGATTTTTAATTACGAAGTGCATATAATTCAAATTTAGAATTTATTCAATTATCGATAATTTAAATTTAAAATGAATCAAACTTATAATAATTCGAATTTATTTTAAGTTTGAATTTCTGATAGGAAGTGGCTATGTGCACTCAGGTAGGTATAATCAACATATAAGACCCTAATATAAATCCATGTGTTCGATTACGATCAAACTACGACGCAGTTACGCGTGACTGCGATAAAAAAAGCTTGTTAGAGCAGCCCATTTGGGACTAAAATGTGGAACTCACATATGCTCTCTAGTCTCATTAAACTAATGCAAAATACATACAGTGAAAAACCTCTGGTAGACTATAGCTGTTTTGCACGATAATCGATGTGCAGAGTAATGATCTATCTAATTTATGCATTTCAAACAGAATTTTTTTAATTTTTTCTACGGGCGCCCTATTTTTTGCTTTGCATTGTTGCTATTCGCTCATTATTTTTTATTTTTTTCAATTCGCTTTTCGTAATTTGACATTCTTATTATTATAATCATTGCATTAATTGACAAATAACTCTGTTTTATATATTCATGATGTCTGCAGAAGATCTTACATACTATCATATATATTAATCAACTCATAAATACTGATATTCATTATATTTCAAAATTATTACTTGATCAATTTTGCAAAAAAATCCCTAGAACACCTGACACCTGTTATTTTCGATTGCTAAGATCTGTAATTGGGGGGGGAGGGGGGGGGGAGGGGAGAGAGTCTCTAATGGGGATGTCTGTCATGGGAGCTTCCGTTGCTAAGTGTCTGTAATGGCGCGAGGTGCCGGAAAACCTCGACTTAGAACTTACATTCTCAAAAAAATAAGGTACTATACGGAACCAAAAATAGTTTCGTGTGCGGTACGAAATTTAAAAAAAGCTTCGAACACAGTACAGAACTTAAAGAGTTTGGCACATAGTATGGAACTTTAAAAAAGGTTTCGAATTTTGCAACGAAAAGCAAACCTTTTTAAGGTTTCGTATGAAACCTTTGAAATCTTAAAAAAAGACTCCTAAAGTTCGGACGATCATTTTGGACGTATCTTGGGTTTTTACGAAACCTCAAAAAGGTTTCGCTTCTGTTGCAAAAATGGTTTCGTATGGCACCTTATTTATTTTCAGAGCATTCACTATTTTCTTCGAAAATATATGTGAGTTCCATAGAAAACGCAGTTACCCGCAGCTGCAGTCAAAAAACCACGATTACGCTTAACTGCAACGCAGTTTTTCTAAATTATGGGTCACAGTACGATTGCAATTGCTAAAAGAGACGATATAGGTGAGATTTTCATTTTATTAATATTTTTATTGTGAACTACTAATAATTGTTGAGATTTTCAAAAAAACTTGACCAAAAGTAATCATTAAAAAAAATAAACAAAAAATTTAAAAGATTCAAAAACACAAAAAAAGTAAATAAAAAACAAAGATGAAAAACATTTTAAAAAATTAAGAAAAAAATCTAAAGAAAATAAGAAAAACATCTAAAGAAAATAAGAAAAATTAGAAAGATAAAAATACATTAATAATCATAATAATATGAATAATAATCAAAATCTAACCTCAGATTCGAATTCACGACTCCCGAAAACCCTCTAGTCTCCGTTTTCATTGTAAAAAACATGCATGCAGATTGCATACTCTATTGGTTGGAGCAGAATGAAAAATGGGCAACACTCGCACGAAAGCTTCCTTTTATACGGACCGTCTATGGCTAAGTTTTGGTGTTATTTAGGAGAGTTCAAAAGTAGTGGCAGTGAAGCTTTAATACCGTATAGTAAGCTTTAGAAAATTTTCCTTTTATATGTAGGGGTAGTAGAAACAATGCTCTATTTTTTCTGTGGTATTTGATCATGCTTCAAGTAATACTATAATAATAAAATTTCGATAAGATCTGTTTTTCTATGATATGTGACGGTTATACTAATACCTATTTAAAAAAAAAAGGCAAGTGGATATTTTTTGAATAATTTTCGATAGAAACAAAATAGAGAGCTGCATTTTTTATCGTTTGCAAGAGGAGATGAAGATGCAACGAATCGTGTATTAGAGGAGTTTTTGACTTGGTCTTTTTAAGCTTTCAATCGACCTCTTTGAAAACAAACCTAATCGTAAGATATTTACAGCAAATTTTCAATTGTCAGGTGTGTATTCAAACCGTCAATGGAGGACCTACAAAACTACATAAGGTTCATACGTTTAGAATAAATCATTCAAGAGTTATACGTATTCTAGTCGAAACTCTAAGTGATTGTTCTAGCAATTTCTGCGAAAAAAAGTTTCTTTTACTATTTTCTTTTCGATGAAAAATGAATTTCTTCGATACTGAGAGAATTGATTAAACAAACTTCAGACAACATACTAGGAAAATCTAGAATATATGATTCGATGTGTCTTCATCTCCTCTTTCAAACGATAAAAAATGCAGCTCTCTATTTCGTTTCTATCGAAAATTATTCAAAAAATATCCACTTGCCTTTTTTTAAAAATAAGCATTAGTATAACCGTCACATATCATGGAAAAACAGATCTTATCGAAATTTTATTCTTATAGTATTACTTGAAGCATGATCAAATACCACAGAAAAATAGAGCATTGTTTCTACTATTCCTACATATAAAAAGAAAGTTTTCGAAAGCTTACTATACGGTATTAAAGTTTCACTGTCACTACTCTTGGACTGCCCTAAATAAAATGTGACCAATTACAAGTACGGTGGAACACTTATGATTAGTTGGCACCCTACACAGTGAATCGTACGATGCGAGTAATGTGGAGCAGTTGCGTTGATGTGCGTTGCAGTAGCCGTAGTTTGTGACAGAGATTTTTACGATCACTGCACCGCAGTTACGAGCAGTTACGATAAAAATTCCGAAGTTACGCGTAGCTGCGACGCAGAATCGACTCTATGCGTAACTGCGACGCAGTCGTTAAAAATAGACGACATAGGAAATATAAAAGTCTTATATGTTAATAATATCTATCTGAGTGTATATAGTCACTTCTTTTCTGATAATTTAATTGATGCATAAATTACATTGAAAGTAAATATAAATTGACACCCATAAACGCAAATTACAACTTTTATTTATACAATATTTTTTAACTCCTCAAGAAATTTAATCATAATATGCTCGGATCACTTAGCAAGGATTGTCATTCATTTAAATATGAATCCATCATATAAAACAAAATCACAGATTGAAAAAATCAGACTTTTGTAGCATGAGAGATGGGATTTGGAATTAAGAAAACAATTCTTCTTTTTATAAAGAAAATATTTTTGAGAAGATTATTATATAGATATTTCTAAAACTCTACGTCATACTACATGAAAAGACGAATAATGATGTTGTGGAAAATACTTATAAATAAATGATTTGATAATACGCAACTAACCTTATTGAGCTAGCCGTGATCAAGAACAGATCAATTAACAGACAAATATTTGACATGTTACACAAAACAATCAAAAATTATTAAAATTTGCAATAGTTTTGTTAATTATTCGACAAGAAAACCAGTTTGTGTTTTATCTTGAAAGGCATGCAAATGTATTTTAGACAGATGTGTTCACTTGAATGCATTTAGACGCGTTTGATTAATTCTAGCAACAATATGCGTCTGCAACTCAAACGCGGTTAAACGCGAGCCATTTTTGAAACGCATCTAGACACATCTAAATTGGTCCAAAAATAAAACGCTTTCGAAAATGGAATGCGTTCAGATGTGTTTGCCGGCTCAAGCGCATCTAGACACATCTAAATCGATACAAGAATAAAACGCGTTGAAATCTGGAATGCGTTCAGATGCATTTGCCCGTTCAAACGCATCTAGATGCATCTATAAACTGCGGTTTGACGCGTTTCTTGCCTACGTTTCTTGACAGCCGCGTTCAAACGCATCCACAAGCGCGTTTAGATGCCTTTTGACTGCATTTGAAAGTTACATGAGGAAGATCAAATATACTATTAAAATTAAATGAAGTTTATCATTCAGATATTGAAATTGAAATTGGAGCAGAAAATAAAGGATGAATTGCAAATGAAATGATTGTTCAAAAAAATAATCTTCATCATAAATATATTATGGGTTTAACTTTTGGTGGATATGATTTCAAGTTATTTATTTTGTTTTTTTTATTTCATTTTTAAAAATCTATTTTGTTCTAGTCGTGGTTGTCTAACAAATTGTTTATTTGAGAATAATATACTTGAAGAAAATGATCTTAGTTGAACTGAAAATAGGGAAATTATTGTTTCTTATGCATCTGATTGTAAAGTTTTACATAATATTATAAAACCAAATGAAGAAAATACTATTCTTTGGGCTAAGGAAAATGGTGGTTTAAATAGTAAATTTAATTATCAAATTTATTATCCATATGCTTAACAAACAACTTAAGATGATCTTATTTTTTTTTTCTATTGGAATAATCAAGACTGGAATGGACTTAATCAATTTAAAAAAATTAGTAAACAAGAAATCAATGCTCAAGTCAAACTATAATTATCAACACATTCAAATAAACTCTTTAGATATTCAATTTACTTTATTTTTTTATAAACTCATAAAATTTACAAAATAACTTTTAATAAATATCGTTTATTCATTATTCAATATTTGCAGAATATGTATTGTGGAATTTTAATGTAAAAAATGAATTTATATAGTTAACACAAAGAAATTCGTCGGATCCAATAAAATCATGCTGAATTTTCATAATGAGTCCATTTATTGTTTGGAGCTCTATCCAAAACGAGAATTAATACGGTCATATACGACCATGTACAACCTATTTTTTGCTGCAAATGATCTTAGACATTGTTGCCTATCGCTCTTGAAAAATAATATTTTGAATTAGTTTCAGTAGTTGAATACAAATCAATTGAATATAGTCACATTGAAAGTTTCTATTTGATGGTTTTAAATTTCTCGTCATTTGATCAATTCGAGTAAAAAAAAAAAAGCAAAAATACTTTTCTTTTCACTTATAATGAGATGTTGCTTGAATATGAGAATTTCTATAAGATCTATTTCATTTACATTGTTTATCTTTAATTAATAAATATTTTCATTTTCATTTTCATTTTTATAATAGAATATTGTCTTAAAATTTAAAATATCCAAAATAGTTGTGGGTTACATGAATTTCGGTCGAAGGAATTTTCGACCCGGACTTTCGGCCCGACTAGAAATTCTGGTGATTGTGTGAGTGAATCACCTTCATCCTCAGCTTCATTTATTGTCGGGCCGAAAGTCCAAGCCGAAAATTCCTTCGACCGAAATTACAACCTCCCTGAACAACAGTCGAAACGCGTCGTATGATACTTTGAATCTAACTCTTTTATTTATATTCTCACTTTCACTCTCAATTTTTCGATGAATTTTCTACTAACTCAATGTTAGACGCTATAAAATTGGATTTAGAGACTTTCAATATTGTTGATTCATATGCGCATATCAAATCAAAATCTTTAAAAAGGTTTTGATCGTCGTTCAAAGTCTACAAACATTCTTTTCATGTATTCGTTGGAGGAATCTTTATTTTTTTTATTTGTTAGAGTGAAAGAAATAGCATCTTATCGTCTGTTTTCTAAATAAATCGACATTTTACCATCTTGATGGAATGAAAATGGCAGATGATTAGATGGAAAACAAAAAGAATCAAGTATAGAGGCAACTGTGCTTTTTCATCTTTATTTTATGCGAATAAACAAAACAAAAAACAATGAATTTTAAGAGAAATACAAATTGTGGCTAAAAAAAGTCAACTTTTTTTGTGCATTATATCATCCGAACTTCAATGGTCTTGGCCTCATAAAGTCTTTGACTTGTTCATCAGTAATTTGCTTTCGTCGTTGTTGATGTTCTGCAATCAACTTTTGTAAAACACCAATCAATTCTTGTTTCAATTCTCCAGTTAACAGTTGACCCGATGAATAACCCTGTAAAGTGAAAAAAGAAATGCGATAATTCAAGAGTCTCTTCATAATTGAGTTGTATGGAAATAAACAAGTTAAGAAATCGTTATCTGGTATTCAAAAAGTCGAAAAGCTTTCAAAAATCTAATATGATCATTTAGGAGCAGCACTATTTGATCAGTGAAATGGTGGCAGAAATCTTCTCTCTTCTCGTTGATATAATTTTATCACTCAAGAAAGGATTTTTATTTTTATCAGCCAAAAAATTATAGATTTTCTTTTTTTCTAATACGTTAAATTATACGTATGCTGATTAGTTTGTGAAAAATGCTGTCACTTTTCCGTAAAATACATTCGAGATAAAATTGGAAAAAAATAGATTAGAATCAACTATAGGACAATACTCTATAGACAAAATGACAACTTTTGGTCTTGGAAGACAACTCTTTTGTGTCAAATCTGACTGGCATTATAAGTAAATATACTCTAGATTCAAAGATCATCTCTTTGGACAACTATCAAAATTATATTCATATTGAAAGAACATGATGATAGTCAATAATGTCAGATTCAAATCACATAGTTCAAACAGATTGTTCTAGCCTCTAGAATCCATTTTTGGTATGCACATTGATTAGTATGCTAATTGACACAGAAACAGGATTTTAAAAAGTCAATATTTAATTGCATATAGTCCTTATCAAGCGAAAGTCAAAATCGTTTTACTTACGCTCCTTAATCGTTCTAGTTTCTCATCGTCCTCCATGAAAAACTTGAGATATTGATAAGAAACATCGACATCACAATTGCCACCATTTCGTCGATGTTCTTCTACTGTTGTACAACCACCACTATACGCATAACGATTGATCTAAAAACAAAACTGAAAAATGGACGCTGATGATATTTTCTACTTACTTTATCTTTAATCTCAGTTGGTGTGTCGGTGAGAAAAATTGACGATGCCGCGTCCGATGCGCTCATCTTTGATTTGGCACCTTGTAGAGCCGGAAAGAAAACTGAATGGAGTAGAGCACATTTTGGAAAATTGAGACGAGATGCAACATCGCGTGTCATACGAAAGAATGGATCCTATCATCAAAAGAATTAATAAGAATAACCAAAAAGAGAAAGAATTGAAGTGAACCTGATCGATAGCACATGGAATCAGACATGATAGTTCTTCTTTAGCATTCTCACCAAATATAAACGGAAACGAAGAGCTTACAGCTGGAGCCGCTTGAATAGCAGGAAAGCTTATTTTTCCAATGGGATCCGTGTTGGTGAGACCGAAAATGGCTAAAAAAAACATAAAGACAATCACAAATACATATAGAATTGTCGATGTGTTTAATTGTTTCTTAATTTCCCACTGATGAAGGTAGATTTAGTTCAGTGTTATTTTTGTCATGTAATACATCTTTTTGAGTTGAAAGTTACTCTTCTCCTCTTTCTATGTATCTTGAATCAACCGAACAAACAAAAAACATAACAAATGATATCATAAAAGAGAATAAAGACATGTGCATCGAAGAAAAGAAACAATAACAGAATGAAAAGCCAATACAACAGAAGCAGGTGACTTATCTCTTGAATTTTCTCTTTTTCTTTCTGTTGCTTTATAGTCATAATTAATTACCTTTGACTTGATTGTACGTAACAGATTTTTGAATTCGACAAATATTCTTATAGAAATTTGGACATTGACTGAAGAAGAAAGAAAGAATGATAAATAATCAATAGAGTAAAATAGATAGACATACGCTATGTATTCAAAATCGCTGAAAATAAATGTTTTGTCAATGTCGAACCCACAAGCAATTATATCTTTGGCATTTTCATGTGCCAATCGATTGGTTTCTTCTGGTGTGAGATCTTTCCATAAAAACTTTTCGTCATCAGTCATTTGAATGACCAATGGAACATTGAACACATCCTGCAACCACCTATGAAAACCGAAATTAGAACGAATTGTGATTTTTTTTTCTTTTCCCCTATCTCACTTTGTCATAATAAATGGTACCAAATGTCCCAAGTGCATAGCTTCTGATGATGGACCACGACCAGTATATAAGTAGAACGGCTTCTTTCGTTCATAGGCATCTAATATAGTTTCCAGATCTCTACAAATAATGGATGAAATTAGGTATCAATCAGTCGATGAGTAAACAATTACCGATGAGAAAAAAAGATTCGACGTCGAATAAAATGATGTATAGGACGTTGAATGATTGTTTGCATTCTTTGCACTAAGTCGTCAGTCAAATGTAATGAACCAAATCGAACTAGATTCAAAAGAGAATAACAAAAGTGTTTTTTATAGAGTCGAAAAGAACAAAAAATAGATGAAATTCAATTCGTTAAGCGGTAAAGTGTAAGAAAGCTTGATTTGTCTTTGAGAAACAGATCCTGTTTTTGTTTGCAACTTAAACAATGCTTAGATATGAAGTAGACGAATGTTGAATTCTCAAATTGAAGTGAAACGCCACAGAACAAATGTTTATTGTCTTACAAAGTTCTTTTCTCTTCAAAATGGAATCATATTTTCTACTAGGAAGTTAATTTGTTCGTGTTATGACAGTCTTGTTACTCACCAATTATTTTATCGTAATCGACTCCGGTCATTGATTCAGCTTTCACTTCCCATGGATTGACCACATCGTCATTCTCAGTAACACCGTTTTGACTATTTTCACTATCTTTCATTATTATATTCGATTGATCGGTCATCGTTGATTCTCTAATGTATAATATATGATCGTGATTTCACTTATTCAATAGAGAATATTTGCTTTCGTGTATGAGAAAAAAGCAACAAATGCTCTATATATATATATATATATATATATATATATATATATATAATATTCAAATGAGTCATGAATCAAAATGTATTACAAAGAAAAAACCAACTTTTTAATGTAATGTCAGAAGTGGTGTATTGACATAGTAGTTATTTTTATTTCAAGTTTTGATAATTTTATCATTTGTTTGCTCTCATGTACGCACTTATCATACAACATTCTTACGTTTATCTATGACTACAAGAAAAATAACCCACGCTTCTTCTTGTTGAAAAACTGAGTGTTGGATAAAATGCATCGGTCAATAGGAAATAGATATTGTTCTTTCACAACAATTATTCATTGTCATCTTCAGCGAATGTAGAAAAAAAATTATGGAATTTCGTAAAAATGAAAATACCATATAACAGTATTCTACATCTTTATTTTTTCGACGAAAATGAAATATGGAAGGAAATACATGAAATGATTCAGAATGTTATGAACTGGTTATTTCCAGTTTTTGATATATGAATAATTCTGTATTAGAAAAACAGATTATGAGAACGTGCCCAATCATTTGTCAATATAAATAGAAGAGAGCAGCATCATCTTCTCATTTACTCGCTTGCTCAACATTGCTCTTCATCACGGTTCTCAGATCCATTTTCAACTTGGTCGGGTTTCGCATGTGAAATATTTACCAAGTATGGTTTTTTTTTGTCTTTCTATTGAAGGTGTGGGTCTGGGTGAGGTGTAGGTGTCGATGTGGGTGTGGGTGTGGGTGATTAGAGAGATTTCCACACCCACACACTTGAGAATCAGCATTAAACCCTGATTATTTTTCACAAGTTTATTTGATACTTTATCAAAACTTAATTTTTCATATCTGGGGTATCCGTCAGGTATGGAAAAACATTTTTTGTCGTTTTTCTATTCGAAGTCTTTACAGTTTGATAGAACTCAGTGTGCTGATTTCAAATATGATATTTTTTTAAACGTTAGTCGGGTGATAAGGAATATCTGAAGCACTTTCTGAGAGCCATAAAAACCAGTTTTTGATCTGATGGTATATAAAAATCCTATTTATATTCGATTAAAATAGACTCATTCGATGCAGAATTATTATTTCGATCAGAATCTATAATAACATTTAAGATATGCAAATCTTTTTCGATTGATAAATACGAAATACCGCCCTGATTGGGTCATATTGTTATAACTAATGATTTTTTTAGCCTTATGACGTTATAGTTTATACGAGTGCATCAGCAAGATTTTTTTTTACTGAATACGTAGTTCAATGTGCTCTTTCTAATGAGACTATTTTCAACTTGAAACTCGATGTCTGATAAAGCACTTTTGCTCTTACTACTAGTCTTGATACCAAATTTGTGTCATTTTTGACTAATATTCGACGGTTTTCGAAGAGAATAACCCCGTTTGTCTTCAAACAAATAACATATTTGGAATAAGCACAGAAAACTGTGTTGACTTATATGTGTTTCAAATTGTTTCTACGACTTTTTTTTTTCGAGATGGGATGTGGATGTGGGTATGGATGGGGTTTGGGAGTGTGGTTGTGGGTGTGGATCTTCTTTTTAACAACACCTATACCCACACATCCATACACCCCCACCCCCACCCCACACCTACACCCCACCCAGACCCTACACCCACACTCCACCCACACCGCACACCCACACCCCACACCCACACCCCACACCTACACCTCATCTACACCTCTCATCCACACCCCACACTCACACTCTACCCCACACCTACACTCCACCCAGACCCTACACCCACACTTCACCCACACTCCATCCACACCTCTCACCCACACCCACACACCCCACACTCACACCCACAATCACATCCCACACCCACACGCACACGCTCACATCCCACATCCTCAGATATATTAGAAATAAAGTTAAAACTAAATATGAGCTGCTGCCTATTCTTATGAGTAATATATAATATTCATGAATTTACTTTCTTCACGCAAGGTTTTTTCCAATGCGAGATATATTGTTATAAGAAATGAAATGAAACGAATTTGATTTCATTTTTAATAGAACAATATTGACGAGTTATATTTTACTTTATAATAATTAAAATATATTTATCAAATATATGACATTATTTTCTAGATTATTTCTGCTTTAAAATTTGTTTTTGAATACATACAAAAAGTAAATTGTACAATTTATTTAAGTTAATTGATCTATCTTTTATACAATGTCCGATTCAAACCAAATAAACAGTAATGAAACAGATATTGATCATGACAAAAATTCAAATACATCATCGTATAATGAACAATTATCTTCAAATATGGTAATGAATCTATCAAATGAATCTTTATCAACGAATAATTTGTTATTATATTCTGACCTTCGTCAAAGACGTGGATCAACATTTGAATCAGGTATTTCATCATGTGGATTCAGTACACCAGATTCCAAATCTGATCAAGAATCTCATATATCTGGTGAAACAATCGCATCATCATTATTATGTCAACGAATCATAAAACGATGTAAGTCAATAATGAAAGTTCGTGGATTGTCAAATTTGGAAGAAGAGAGCAAAAAATTATTTATGTTAGATGATGAACTAGAAACACAATGGCAAAAAACATATGATTTTTATTGGAACGAACGACTATGCCATGATTATGAACGTATAGAAAATGAAATATGTCAATGTTTTAATGCTCTTATGAATGATGAAAAAGGAATAATGATTGGATTAGATTCAATATCATCATTAAAAGATCTTTTGATCACCTCTATGAAACTTTCTAGTGAACCAGATTTTAAACTTGAAATTCGTATTGGACTCGGTGGCACACATGATCTAGTTAATTTGCGTGCACCATCTTATGCTGTTGCAGGTATTTATGTATTGGAACAATTATTAAAATTACGAGACAAATTTCCACCAATTGAATATGATTCAGGTATTATAAAAATTTTTAAAGATAAAAGATTGAAATTACTTTTTATTTTATTTAAGAAGAAAATATTCCAACAATAATGTTAATTAATCCTCCTATTTTGACATTTTTTTGTGCTTATACAGCAGCCGTTATAGTGAATCATCTTAATGAAGATATTGCAAAACAACATGCATATGATATATTGTCATATATAAAAATGTATATTGATTATTTTCATCAGAATTTAAGTGATTATGTTCGATATGAAATTGATCATAGAAATACTTGTGAAAATACATTATTAGATCGTATTGTTAGACATTATAATTCTAAATATGATGATAATATAGAAAAAATCAAACAACTATTAATTAAACATGCAATAAGTCGTGGTAGTAGTGAAGAAGGTTGTATCCAGTATACATCAATGCATTTAATTATAGCTAAAGATATTATTGATAGAAATTCGCCACAATCATTATTACGTTTATTAAATGAAAACGAAAATAATGTTCAAGATGATCAGTTAATATGTTTATATGATTGTATAATTACAATTGGTGGATCAATAGAAGAAATATTTAATCAAATACGTCATGCAGTTCGACAAACTTTTATTAAAGAATCAGTAAAAAACAAAGAAAATAATTATCATTTTCCTTTATCAATTCGAATGTTATCAAAAGCTGGGCAAACACCTGTATATTATTTTCATACACCATCTGACATTACAGTTGATGACATAATGAAAGATCGTATTACAAATTTACATTTAACAGATAACACATATAAAGGTATTAGAGAAGATATATCAATATTAAAAGAAGATGTTGGTATAAGTCTATTAAAATCAATTTGGAATCATATACCCGAGATAGAATTATATGATATATCTTCATGGAAAAATATTGTATTAACTTTAATTGATTTATGTCTAAATATTTGGGAAGTTCATGCAACAAATGATAATAGAATATGTAAATGTAAAATAAAAGATCAACAGGCAATTGAACAAGTTTGTGAACATTATCATTTATTAGATGTTCTTCATGATAATTCACGTTTAATTATTAAGACCATCTTAGATGTACTTGAACATGATATTGGTTTTTCTTTTGGTCAAATAGTTCAACATCTTCGTCGTATATATAAACGTAAAGATATCAAAATCAAAATTTTTAATGAACTTCATTCTGTACTTGGTAAAATTCTCCTTGATTTTGTTCGAACAGAATTTTCTTACAAAATATAATTTAATAATTATTTTTTCTCTTTTTACTCATAAAATCAAAGTGATCTATAATATTTTTATTAAACTGTAACTCAATGTTGTGTTTTTTGTTCAAAATAAAATTTTTTTCATTTTTATAATAAAATAAAAATACTATCTTTACCAAAGATGTTATCTCTGTCATACTGGAGGATTTGTAGAATATACGAGTCTAAAAACGTTTTTCTTCTACGATGACGAAATTATTAATTTATTGTTTAGAAATCAAGTTTTAACTGACATTTATCATAGTTTAATTACACAAACTTGATCTTTTTATCAAATCTATTTATGAATCAAATAAACAAAGTGAACATTTTGCACAATTAAACATAAACAGAGATGAACATATTTTCAATTTATAACAAGACTTTCAATGCATCTTGTTAAAACATATCCAATATAGATTGTATTCTATAACGTTAGAGATGTGATAGAATGTTTATGGATTATCAATCAATAGAGAAAAAATATGATAGTGGTGGTGTATTTCTCCTCTAAAAAAGTTCGTTTGAGAATAACAAAATGTCATATTAATAGGGATGATTATGCTCGGGTGTGTGTGAGCCATGAGTGTGAGTGTAGGGCGTAGGATGTGGGGTGTTGGGTATGGGAATGGGTGTGGGTGTGGGTATGGGTGTGGGTGTGGGTGTGGGTGTGGGTGTAGGTGTGGGTGTGGGTGTGGGTGTGGGTGTGGGTGTGGGTGTGGGTGTGGGTGTGGGTGTGGGTGTGGGTGTGGGTGTGGGTGTGGCTATGGGGATATAGGTATGTTAGTGCGGGTGGGTGTTGATGTACGTTGTGGGTGTTGGTGATGATGTGGGCGCGAGTGTACGTTTACATCTTCATCTCACCCACACTCACATTCATACAGACATCCACACTCACACCCATACAACCCACGCCTGCACTCACATCCATTCGCTCCCCCCGCACCTCACATCTCACACCCAGCCACACTTATACCCTTTGATTACGAATGTAATATTTCTACTCACATCAATTGATAACATACCTATCAGAAACAACTAAACAGAAGAAATAATTTCACATAGCCTTGTAAGAGCAAAATTGAACTATACAAAAACATTCCAGCCCAATGTCTGAAAATCAACCAACCTTCCAAATATATTTCCTTAACTATTGCAATCAGTATTATAAATCACAAAACAAAAAATATTTGTTAACTACCCCTCAGTAAGCGCAACAGTCGTTCGATATTTCTCTATTACATCATCGTGGACAAAGCTAACCCATCAAATGCTATGACCGACTGCTTTCAACACCTCGATCATCTTCTACATTCACTATACGCATACAAAACACTCCACATGCGAATGGCTTTTATGAATTCTAACTTATGATTTCAAGTGATGAGGTTCTCACAAAACAGCAAGAAACGCCCGTTTGTCGTGGAACGGTCAAAATTCTATACACACACTTATATATCGATGTCAAGCTAGCACGACGGATTTAGATGAGGTTGGAGTCCTGCATAATAAGACTCCAGATGGCGGGACCTACGTGAGGGTGCTTGAGTACGTATTCCCCAGCGCTCTCACACAGATCCCGGCCTGCAATGTCTTGTCGTTAAGAATTCGGAGCCCATCTAACTCACAAGGGAACCTTCTTAGGTGTCGGAGCGCTTTTCAGTCGGGGTTTCGCGCATCTTGTAGCCCATAGTGAGCTATGTCTATAGTAAAAAAAGTTCGGGTTTCTGGCTTGTTTCTGAGGAGATATCGAGCTCTTAGTGAATTTTCTCTATTGTGCGCCTACATTGGCAGCAAAGCTATACTTTCAAATTTTGACCTGAAACTTTGCCTGCATAAAGGCCTCAGCTAGACTAGTTTGTATAAAAAATTTCAAAAGTTTTGAATAAATTCTCTCTAAGATATGAAGCTTTGAAAAAAATGCTTACTATATATATTATTGATGAAAAAGGGACTATACCTTGATAGTTTCATATCTTAGAGAGAATTTATTCAAAACTTCTGAAATTTTTTATGCAAACTAGTCTAGCTGAGACCTTTATGCAGGTCAAAATTTGAAAGTATAGCTTTGCTGCCAATGTAGGCGCACAATAGAGAAAATTCACTAAGAGCTCGATATCTCCTCAGAAACAAGCCAGAAACCCGAAATTTTTTTACTATAGACATAGCTCACTATGGGCTACAAGATGCGTGAAACCCCGACTGAAAAGCGCTCCGACACCTGGGAAGGTTCCCTTGTCAGTCATGGTTGCCTCGCATTGTGGTACCTTCACATCGATCACTTATATTGTGATAGAAAATCTTTGATAAAAATGAATGTATTGAATTATTTTAAATAGTTATAGACAGATATAAATCTTTCATTTTCATTGGGATTTATTATGATTATATATTGTTAATGCTATCATTTTGATGATGCAATGTGCAAAAGTAAATAAAAGATTATTGTATCAGAGTAGCTTCAATGTTTTACTCTTGTTCTCAAAATTTGAACTACGTAAAAAAATGATATAATATCAGAAAATTGACTTGATCCATCTGTTGACGTTCTGACAAAAACAGAAACAAATGGCCGTTTCTCGTGGAACGGTCAAAATTCTACACACACTTTTTCTGAAATCGCAGTACACAATTTGTATTGTGTTAACTCATCACACGCTTTAGATGTTTCTTTCTACTATTCGTAGTAGATTCTTAGTATTTTGTATTTGCTTCTACTTCAGTATGAGTCATTCGTATAGATACTCGCCACCTGATAAGATTCTCGAAAAGCCGAAATACAAAATTTGTATTGTGGTAACTCTTCACAGGCATTCACACCCACACTCACACTCCACCCAAACCTACACCCATCCTCTCATTCGATATTCATCTAAATGTACGAATTACCTAAATGTAAAATCTTAAGACTGTTAAGAAAAAGTTCACTGTTTGGTTATGGTGGAGCACACACATATGTATGTATCTAATATCTTTAGAAAAAATGTGGGTTTTAGAGTAGTGTCACATATCCAAGATTTTGGAGATACCACCGACACTCGAGAGATGTGGTTATTCACCACTGGAGATGTAAGATCTCCTTTAGAGATGCGCATCCCCCACATCCACACCCTCATCTCTCGCGCAAGATGCGGCATCTCCCGCGGGAGACGTGGTGGCATCTCCAAAATCTTGGATATGTGACACTGCTGGGGTTTTAGTAGTTTATTACTTGGAAAAACCCTCTTGATAGAAAACTATAAAAAAACTTAGTAAGCAGACGATGCATACAACTTCGAAGAACTAGAATTTTGCATGTAAGAGAAACAAGTTAAAACATACTTGATGATCTAAAATTTTTAGAAAGTCATATAATCTCTAATGAGGATTGATTCTACAGTTACATTTGTTTTTCGACAATACTGGTCGTTTATGATCTGATTGGCCGACGTTAGTCACAAATAACACTCAAGCTCAATTAACAGTTTTGGCTAGATAAATGCTTATATAGAAGACACAATTCCTCTTTTTACTTTTTTATTTATGCATCAGGTAATATATTGAAAATGTACAGATGAGGATGGAAAAAAGTGCTCAAGCCCAAGTTAACAAATATTCAAGTAAATTCACCAAATTCAAATGTTCAAATTTGATGCATATCTAGTTGGGATATGTAAAGGAACTCACTGATGCTATGGAGTTTGTCATAAAAAGCGAGATGACACAAATATTTCTGATCAGTTTATAGTATTTCGCTAGTTCCAGCAATGTCTCTTAAGTATGCTGTAGAAAATTTTTATAAATATTATGCGAAGTTTGAAATCGTCCTGTAATATGTCCTGAAACGTATTAAAATGAGTTTCCGAGTATTTCATATTTTTTGAAGTTCTGTTTAAAACATGAATTTCTCGATATTTATAGTATGTGTGGCAATCTTTGTTAACTTTTACTACGAAAATTATTCACTTCCACTAGCAATATCTGTCTCGGACGAAATTTAGAAAGATGGTGCAACTCGGTGCATTTTTACGAACAGAAGAATTATAAAAATATGAAACAAATCATTTTACACCCTCAGACAAAAGTCTTTTTTCCCTTTTGTCTTTTTATGCTGTCATACTTTGTATCAAATTTATTACTGAGTAAAGATATGACATGAGAGTTTTATTACAGTACTAGGTGGGTAAAAATACTATTCCAGGGGGATAACGCTATGATTTCAAATAGCAATCACAACAAATTTTATACCAAATTAAAGCGCGTCAAAAACGGGATTTAGCAATACTAAATAGTAAGGGATATGGAAACTTTTCTATATTAAATTGAAGCAATTTTCAAAAATACTATGCTGTGTTGTCGCAGAAAATCAGAGTTATGAGACAATTTAAACTAGATCTGTTTTCAAATGTTGATATATGACAAAGAAATTTTTATTTTTATTAAAGTTCAGTGAATATAATCAATAATCAGTATGACGACCGTTAGCATTCTTTACAGCACGAAGACGTGACGGATACGAACATAAGAGAGTTTCAAATAATTCAATATCCGTTTCCATATTTTTCAAAACATCTGAAATGTGTTTCTTCAAAGTTTCTCCTCGATAACGATCATGTTCCGTTTCTGATAGCATTTTTTTTTCAACTTCATTTTTAATTACTGTTCCAATATGTTCAGCCACATTTAGATCAGGCGAGTTTCCGGGCCAAGTGTCATTTCCCCAGAATTTGATGTTATTGTCTTGAAGCAAATGTTGAGTCATATTTGCTCGCATGCATGGTGCTTTGTCATGGACAAATATTACTTCACCCGGATTGATAACATTTTCTTCATTTTTTAGAAATGGTATCACATGTTGCATTAGAATTGTATCACGAAAATATTGGCCCGTCCAAGATTCACCTTTGTCTTTGATAACCCAATGTAACTTTTTGGCAGTAAAAATCACAAAAATCTCAATACACACTCGATTTTTAACCATTTCACGATATCTTTCATCGTCTTCTATATCTTCAATACTTTTTGACCAGACTCGATCATTTTGATAATTTGATCTGCGAACGATCCAGACATAAAATTCATTTGATGGCGCAAGGTGTAGAAAGTCTTCTTTAGTCCAGTCTTTTAACCAATCGCAGAACCAGAATCGATTAGAAATGTGAGTTTCTGTTTTTAACGGTTTTGGAATAACATGAAAAGGCTTTAGTCCTTCTCTGGAACGATAATTATCGATGGTTTTTCGAAGAACATATTCGTTTTGCTTTTCTGCAATTTCTTTCGCCACAATATAAGAGCTTTTCCCTTGTTTGCCACTGCCGTTCAAAATGATATTTCTACTCGCTTCTGATAACTTCAGTTTACGACCAGATTTCGAATAATCAGCAAAACATTCATCATATAATTTCTCCCACCACTCAGTAACAAATCGAGTAGTTCGATGAATTTTCTGTGCAATCCATTGTCGATTAATAAATCTTGCACCCTCATCGCGAGCTTCACGAAAAGCGATGCATTTAATTCTATCGACCATTCTTTGCTCTTCGTTGTCGTAAGTACCAGCCATTTTCAATTAATAAATTTAACTGATCAATCAATTTGGTATATTTGTTCTATTTATAGAGTTTGTCTATCACTAATAACTTTATATAAGGTCTTACGAACATTTAAAATTCTTTTTCGTGAAATTTCTAAGATAAAATAGGAATGAGAAAAAATAATGTTGACTAACTGCTATCATGAGTCATTATTCTTGGAAAAAGAAAGAAAATTATTTTTCCTCTATAACATTAATACTATGCGAAAGAACAGAAACTAAAACTGAGTGCAAACGAGCAAGTCACTTAGAAGAATATAAATGTGCACTGTTTTATCTTTTCTAGTATAATTCCAATACATCGTTATTCACATTTCAGAGAGATAAAAGACAATAGAAAGAAAAAAATAATCGTAGTTTCAGCTTTGAAGCACGTTGAATCCTTATAACACCGATAAATCGACGGATATATGTAGAAAAAACAATTCCATGGTCAAATGATTCATTATTTACAGAGTATCGCCATTATATTTCAAAAATTGGTTCAGTTCAACATAGAAAAGTTTCCATATCGCTTACTATTTAGTACTGCTAAATCCCGTTTTTGACGCGCTTTAATTTGGTATAAAATTTGTTATGATTGCTATTTGAAATCATAGCGTTATCCCCCTGGAATAGTATTTTTACCCACCTAGTATAATTTGCACACCAAAATGAAATAAAACTTTCATGTTATATCCATGTAAATATTTTTTGACTTAAAAACGCGTCTGAAACGCGATTCGTTGCGTTTGAAATTCACAGAAGAAACGCAAGAACTGCGTCTCCAGTGAAACAAATCTTGCGTCTAGTCGCGATTTTTTTCAGAAACGCGTCGGAACGCGAGCGTAATTTGGGTCGCGTTTGGACGCGATCTTGTTTCAAAACGCGGCTCCAGTGAAACATTTCTTGCATCTAGACGCGGTAGCAATGACCGCGTCTAGATGCGTTCCAATTGAAATTAAAAAAATTAAAAAAATAAAATATCAATTCGTTTCAGATTTGAACTGAGGCGCCATCAATGTCATGCCGTGATGGTCTTAGCCTACTTTGGCAAATGAATTGAATTTTTACCTTAAGCGATGAAAGTCAGAATTAAACAAGTGAACCATCGATCAGAAGTCGTGTATATACACCACTGAGCTATACTAGCTCGAAATGTTTTCTCGTTCAAGACGAAATGTATTTGAATCTTCACTTTACTACTTAGATTCATCAGCGCAGTGACATTTACTTCTTCCTATGCAAAATATACAACACTTCATGTAATTTTTTTCTTACAAATTTAACAGTGTAAAATACAATGGTAGATTTTTTGTCTTCTTCTGATCATAATTATATTTAAAAAAATTTTCGAAATAATATTATAACTGTAATATCGAGGATAATTTTATTCAAAACACTACAATTAAAAACTGTATTGTACTATATAGTTGAATTATAATGATCATTTATTATCATACAATTTAATCAGTGTTATCCGTAAGATTGGCTAAAAATCATGAGTGAGCTGGGAGACCGGTATAAGTAATTACATCTACTATCTATAAAAATTGTGCAATACCCTATATTTTATTTCTATTTTGTACATGACTGCGTTTTCTCGGTTTCTACGCGTGTGGAAAAACGTTTTACCTTTAAAATATTGAATGAAATTTCAATGAATCAGACACATGCCATCAGTGTATTCTAGCTGAATTATGTGTTTCGTGTGAAAGATACATATCCGTCCAGTCGTTGAAAAAAATTTTCAAATGCGTTCCGATGGCTTTTATTCTTAATTCTGTCTTCAACATAATATTTTTTGTATTCATACTCTTTCGAGATAAAACTGCGTCTGAACACATTTACTAGACATTTGATGAATATTTTTTGGAGTGCAAACGCGTCTGGACGCAGTTTACAATAAAACCGCGTTTGAACGCAGTTATCTTGTGATTGGTGTTCATATGGAAGTGCGTTTGCATGCGGTCTCATAGAAAACCGCGTTCAACCGCGATTCAAAATTTCTTATGACTGCGTGTAGACGCGATTTTATCTGCAGCCACATTCAAACGCGGTTAAAAACCGATTTTAACAGCGTGCAAACGCGATTTCATTTATTAACGCGTCAAGACGCGCTTGGAAACGTTCTTCAACCGCGTCTAGACGCGGTTGCAATAAAATCGCGCCTAGACGCAGTGAAAATCGATTTTAGCCGCGTCTGAATGCAGTTTACAATAAAACCGCGGTGGAACGCATATATTCTGCATCTCGTGTTTACATGGGATCTCTACTCGCTAATAAATTTAATGTAAAGTTTGACAGTGTAGAACAATAAAAAGTGGAAAGATTTTTGTCCAGGGGGTGTACGTCTTAAAAGAAAACCTATGCATGATTTTTTCCTATATTTAATTTCTAAGAAAAAGCGAAAGAACCCATTTTAAAATGAAATGATCAATATAAAATCTGAAGTTGGTGTACGTTTGCTGTTTATTTCTCTATTCGAAACTTGATGGACTAGAAACATGAGTGATCACTATAAAAATTGCGAACAAATTTTGATAGAAGGTTACATTTGAGACACTATATCTCAACAAGGATTTAGACGCACATCCACTCATGATAGATGATGACATGCCCGACCAAATAACAAATTAAAACTTCAATTAAAGTTCCAGGGAAATAACTGCATTATTGACCGGTGGTTATTTTTTTTACCATAGTGAGTATAAGTTTTTGATCTTATTATAGCCTAAAGAACTTCAAGAAGTCCAAATGGCCTGTAATATGTAGTAAATACATAACACTATATAACTATATAATAATTAATGAATATAACTGGATCCTCAGTTTAAAATATACATTTTACTTATATGGTCCTATTAATGATATTCACCTATTTTACGTACTGTGTGATATCTGCTGCTTAACAGACACTTACTATAAAGCAGCATCCATGATGCACTTAAATGCAGTACTACAGTAGCTTCAATGCTAGCTATGATATAGGCTCAAATCTCGAAAATCGATTTTGTCGCCTGGCTATCTACTGTGCTTCGCCCCTTCCTCCTAAAATCTGCCACCGTCCTAATTGATTCCTTGGAAAAACTAAAGGACACATTTGAAAGTTTTTGTTCGAGCCTCTCCTAAATTCACCTTGCTTCATTGTCTATGAACAAACCTATATTCCAAAACTATATCCTTTCATTTTAACTCCCCTAACAGATGGCAGACATCTGTGTGATAGTCAATTGAACACATCAATTAATTTATGCTTGCCATGATATACAAAATCTATGACTTTCGAATTTGTCCTTATAGTACCAAGGCAAGATACACGTTTTAGTACTAGTTAAGAAATAATTTCCTACTCTGAAATTCTCTTGCTCTTGTATTATAGTTTTCTTTATTCTAATAAAGAAATACATAATAACTGTTGAGTCTATAGTCCTGCGCGGGTTTGATTTTTCGAACCCGCACCCGACCCGAGGTCTTTTAGTCGTACCCGTGCCCGACCCGACCCGACAAGGCTCAATCCGAGCCCGATCCGACCCGAGGATAGTTGGAACCGAGCCCGACCCGACCCGAGGATAGTTGAATCCGAGCCCGACCCGACCCGAGAGATTTAAATTCGTTTATTTTATAAAGATACATCAGTTTATTGCAATATTAAGCATAAAAAATGATAGAAGCTTTATAGTAATAAAAAACACATAGATAATCATGATTGCAAAAAAAACCATCACAACTTAGTATGATCACATTTCCATTCAAATACATACATTTCAAACAGTTAAGATCGATAATGATCATAACAATAAGTATCGTAGAAATATCAATAATACATCTTCAATTTATACAAAACAACTGAAAAATTTCGTAAAAAAATAAGAGAGTCAAGTGATTCTGGTGATAATCGTTGACGTCGAACTTCAAGAATCCGACCTGTTTTACTGAATATTCTTTCAGATACAGCAGAACCTGCAGGTACTGCTAAGAGAGAACATGCCAATAATGATAACCTAAGGAGAATCAAATTTAAATTAATTTATTGAATTTTTCTTGTGCATTTAAGGAGAATGATATAGTAATCAAGAAACTCACTTTTTGTATATGATACAGTGTTTTTACCACCGTTGTAAAAGTGATTCTCCTTTTGGGTATGATATTTTCGCTTTAATATAATCATCTACTTTATCCATCGGCCTCTTATCATCATCGTCTGATGATGAGTCTACAAATGCATTAAAAGACTTGAGAACATCGTGTACAGTGTCTATTTTAATACGTTTTTGATGTGTTAAGGAATTGTTGTTGGTACCTGTCTCTGTTGTTTCTTCATCGACTTGTTGATCTATACCTAGCGTTTTTAAAAGTATTCGTATATTTTTAATAACAGCATTACGTTCTGATTTCATTAGACTCTGAGAATCATTGACCAATAGAATTGAGTTTTATTATTCTGTGAGTTTAAGACGAACGAAAATAGAGGGCAGAAGCATACATACGCAAAAAATCTGACCCGATAAAAACCCGACATTTTTTAATTTCAAACCCACACCCAACCCGACCCGACGGCTGACAGACCCGTACCCGACCCGACCCGATAAGATTGAACCCGAGCCCGCCCGCACCCGACAAGATTGAACCCGAACTCGTCCGCACCCGCGGGTCGGGCTCGGGTGCGGGTCGGGTCGGGTCGGGATGCAGTACTCTAGTTGAGTCATATTACTTGGAATAGTATGAAAAATTACACAAAACCATCGGATCCCATGGGACCAACGTCTTTTGCAGAAATTGTTTTTATTAAGAACAAAAATCGTTTCGAAATCAATGCCTTTCTCGCCTATTCGTGCGAAACAGGTGAGAAATAATTTTGTTTCCTATTCTGTAAATGGTTAAGCACTGTAACCATTGGAATTTGATAAAACAAATAACAATGAATCAACATATAAAGTAACAACGCAGCTCGATCTATTGTAATAGTAAAAAATGATTTGATTCTGCTT